AAATACTTATTTGAGAATACAATAATTACGATGGATTTACAACATATTGAAATTCCGAGAACAGTGGAAGGGTTCTCTAAATTAATAGTAGGTGTTAAAACCATTCTATCCTGGAAAGCGAGGACCAAGAAGAATACTATGAAATTCTATGAAGCACTAAATAAAGGACATAAGCGCTTGACCAACGGAGAATTTTTTTCGCCAGTTAAAATATCCATATAGAGATAAAAGGATGGTTAATGTGTTGTAATAAACTTCTTGCTTTGGAATTTTTAAAATAGTCATGATATTTTTTAACATAGGGAAAGTAATTGAGGATAGCTTTAAAAATTGTAACATCAATAGTAAAAAATTAATAAAATTTACCTTGGCAGTAATATCAAATTTTTTTGAAAATAATTACCCACTTCGATTCATATCTGCACATGATCATCTTTCGCACAAATGAAATTAAAGTTTTAAGTTTACTCAATAAGACCCAATTCTCGAAGATGCACTGGAATAACTACACATGGGTCTTCGTAATACCAAACATACCTTAAGGCAATCCGGTTTTCTTCGCATAATTCTTTCTTGAGTTGATCTCGTTCCTGCTGTTTGATAAAGTTATTGGGATCACCTCTATGAAAGAATTTATTAAATTTTTCGTGTTGCTCCCCTTGGACTTCAATGGCAAAACCATAATCATAATACGGAATATCAAGCTCTAATCCTTGATAATATTTGGGTATTTTTAAGAAATCAGGTCGGCGTATTTTAGATGGTGGTCCAAGATATTTTGATACTATTTTTCGACATAGTTTTTCTCTTTTATATTTCGAGCAGAATGGACACCACGAGTTTGAATGTTTAACACTGCTAAATGATGCAGTCCATAAATGTCCTTCGGCACATTTCCATAATAAAGCTGAACGACTATTAGTAAAATATTTGGAAAGACATGTTCCATTTCTATTACATGCCATTTACTTTGCATTTTCGATAGTATGAGGTCTATTACCTGCGCAATGTGGGCACCATCTCTTACCATTTTTTATATTATTAAAAGATGCATTCCATTCATGTCCTTCGGAACAACTAGGGTATTAGCATTAATGTATTCAGTAGAAATACATAGCCCATTTCTATTACATGCCACTTGCTTGGCTTATTATTTGCGCAATGTGGACACCATGTCTTATGATTTTTTATACTATGTAAAGTTGTAGTCCAAACATGACCTTTCGTACACTGCCATTGCATTGGAGTATTGGTATTAATGTATTCAGTAGAGATACATAGCCCCTTTTTTTTATTTTTATTTTTTATTATTTTTTTTTATTGATCCGATAATCAATCAACAATCAACGATCAGCAACTGTGTAGAGTTGTGCGGATGCGGATAGTGCGCAATTTTTCTAAAATTTTTTGTGCGGATTTGCATATACCTTTACAAAATTTATGTGCGGAATTTTATTAGTCATGTGCAAGCACATGTGCCGCACTATGAAAATCATACACTGATAATTATTAATACCTTTTATTTAAAATCAACAAAATAAATGAAGAAAATTACCCAAAAATCTATTATCATTATATATGATTATTCTTGATGATCAGTTGAAATTTATTATTTTCTTTATCTAATTTAACATTTTTTAAATTTATTTAGTATATTTTACAACATTCTTTCTTATTTTCTTCTTTTAGTTATAATATCTTTTCAAATCTATACTTTCTAGTATTACATCATCATTTTAAATGCAATAAAAATAAAATACAATAAAAATATGTAGTGTTATGATTATATAATTTATAATACTAAAATTGGGGCAGGTGTAATAACTAAAAAATATGTAATAAAAATAAAGAATATACAGAAGTCATAAGAGGTTTCATGTAGAGTTCCGAATGAGTCGAGTCGAGTCGAGTTTAAAGACCAACTCTATTCGACTCGTTTTTTTCAAGTCGAGTCGAGTCAAATTTATTTTATAAAATTTTTCGATTTGATTTGATTCGAGTTATATAAATTTTAAACTCGACTCAATTTGACTCGACTCGATTTTAACTCGATTCGATTTTGACTTGAATTTATTCAAAATTTGTTATCGTTCAAGTCGAACGATTTGTTATCGTTCTTCTTGAACGATTTTTTTTATCGTTCAAGTCAACTCGAGTCAACTCGAATCAAGTCGAGTTTAAATCGAGTCGAGTTAAATATTTAACTCGACTTGAATTTGGCTTGACTCGCAAATCATCGAGTCAAAAAAACATAAACTCAACTTGATTTAAACTCGACTCAGCTTATCTGACTCGTGAGTTAACTCGTCTCGTCCGGAACTCTAATTAGCCATAGTATATTTATATATATTTAATGAAAAAGTGTTATTTATTATAAATTTAAAAAAGCTGACCTGTTTTTAGCTATTTTTAAATTGTTATATATTATATTCTATTTTTACCTAAGTTGATATTTGTAATTTTAATCGTGTTTATAAAAATTAAAAATCCATAACTTACAATTTTATCATTTTTATAAAAGTTGATGCATTTTTTATTTTTTTTTATCAGTATAAAAACCTATCAAAACTATATAATGCAATATTATCATATCATATAAACCTAAATAATGATAAAGATTGCGATCAGTTTCATGGTATTTGATATGTATAAAAAATCTTTTCAACAACTAACTCTTCAATTAATTTTCCAATATTTCCAATAGCAGATAACCTAGTTATAAAACTTTTAAGAAATGATATTTGTCATTATATACTACATCGCCATTTAGTAAAAACCTAAATATCAAAGAAAAAATGACATTAGTAATTTTATAAATGCTATTACACACCAAACACTCACACAAAGAAACTTACTATTCATTTCATTCAAGAAATATCTATTAATCTAAAAAAAAACAAAAGAAATAGCATTCTTTTTAGTTATTAATGCTAGCAATTATTGTAAAGAAAAGTATTATTTTAATAAATTAAATTACTTACATTATTTCAAATAATGAACATTATGAGTATGATCCTTCTAAGTACGTTTCAGTGTTTATATCTATGTATTTTATCAATCATAGTTTTATTTTGATTAAAGTTTCACTTCACTTCTTGAGTCCAAAAAATATTTCTTGATTGTTTTTGTTTCTCAAGCAAATTAAGTGTTTGTTATGTTATATTTATAAGATTTTCAAATATATCACTCTCATTAGTATATTTTTTATCTCAAAAAATAATAGAAAGAAAGAATAGGCTAAATAAATCTATTATTAAGTTTACAAAAGGTTTTCATTTGCATCCTATTTCTTCAATCTTATACTTTGAATCTTAATGAACTCTTCAGAACCAACCAGAATGAATCCAACTTGAACATTCATAGAACTTTCTTCCATGTTGTATAATTTCTCAGTATCAGATTTACGATCATTAATGACCAAAATTACCTTATAAAGCTTCAATTTAACTTTCCTATTAACAGATTTTTGACTACTTGTAAGTGAAGCAGACAAGAATGCCCGTTCAGGTGAAAAGTACTGACTATTATATAAAATTTGTGAGAACTGCATAACAAATTGATCTCTCAACACACGTACTTAACGATCAAAGACCAATCATTCAAATCGACATGGGCTGTTCAAAGAATGGTACCTTCAGGTGTTTCATAAACTTCGAATCTTGAGGACAATAAATCAATTTTCAACAATATCAATTCGGGCAATATCATATATAGAGATTGAGAGAATCAGTTATTGTGTTGATTTACAACCTTGGTAAGTATACTATTTTTGAATGTAATATGTTCAGGTGTGTTTGGTGCTTCTTCCAGATCTACGTTTAATTTCCACATGTATTTTGGTGGTGTTACATTAGGATCTTCTAAGATACCAGCTACATAGGAGATATGGAATCTAAATAAAAGATCAAAAAAACTCGAATCAGAAATACGAAAGTGATGTTATACCCCAAATGCGTTGATGTTCAAAATATGCATTTGGGCAAGCGAATATCCCAAACGATCTTCGCATTTGGGATATCCCAAATGCGCATTTTAGACATTACACATATGGTGTACAACAGATCTAAGTATTTAATTGATCAAGCAACTATAAGTATAATAGAGTGACGTTTACAGTATTGACGTGACGATCTTGAAAAATGCATTGATTTCTCAAATATCTAATTGCATATGTAAGACACCAATACTTTATCTATAGAATTGATAGCTTGAGGAGTAGGAACCAAAATTTAACTGCGTCATTTTTCAAGAGATTGTTAGTCACTAATTATAAACCGGTTAATTTTAACGGACAATGCTATTTAAAAATAAATATATTCTATAAAGTTATTTTTGGGTTTTAAATGTTCTATTATGGCTTTTACGAAAATGTATTTTGCTTTTATGACGCTATTTTCCGTAAGTTTAAATTAATTTTTTTTATCCTTTAAATGCATTTTTTGGAGTTATCAATTACGATTTATAATTTCTAACTACGGTTATCCTGTCGGTTAACAAAAATTTAACTGGTTCAATAAGACTTAATTAGCTGATTAAATGACTTTTAGCCGGTTTACCGAACTTGGTTAACTAGGTTAAAATTTTTAATGAAGGCTCCAATCACTAGTGGAAACCAAATTTCATTAACAAAGTTCCAAAGGAAAGCATTGAAGCATTACATAAAATTTATACTTATCATTCATGAAATCAAAGAAAATGAACAAGCGAAGGATGAGAAGGAATAAAAATATCGGCATTTTCACAATCTTATCGATTACATTTCAATATCAAATTTCGAATGTTGTACAAATTACATATTCTCAACTTTCAATATTTTCGAACATAATTATTTTATGATAAATTTTATTTTCGAATATTAATTTAATAGGAAATTGGTTATTTATTATGTCACAAGAAATTATAAAAGTCGAACAAAAAAAAACTTATTTTTTATTAAAATGAAAAAAATTAAAAAATACAAAAAATCTATAGAAAATTACTGTATATTATATATATATTATAGTCACGTAAGCGGTATCTATAAAATATTAATTCTCGATCACTTTTTCCAGAGTTCACGAGATCCATTGATTGCGTTATTCCGAAAACCAACAATATCATAAATTCGACAATTAATAAATTTGATAGTCACTGATTAAGTGATATATAAACTTATTATAAATATTGCGTTGGGGTTAGTCAGCTATTTTTCACACCGTATTACTCACAGCTAAAAGTTCATCCCGGTAATATAAATTATTGAATGTTGGCTATATGAGATTTCGGTAGTCGGGTTATATTTTGTCGGGATTTCGAATTACGATGTCCGTTGTGTAATACTTATTTTCCAACTTACTTTCTATAATTATATTTCTTTTTTCTACAAAAAGTAATTATAAAAAATATCTTAAAAAGGGTGTTTTCTTCAAACTTCGTGATATCCAGCTAGATTTCTGAATATACGTTTGATAGCTGGAACGTAAACTTTTAAAGTTTCAGGATAAATACGTATCAAGGAATTAGGTATATTTGGTAAGCAAGTTATTTCAGTATTTACGCAGTAGAGAGTTGTTAAGGAGTTAGGTAAAGTTGTTAAGCTAGTGATTTGCGTATTAGAACAGACAAGATAAGTTAAAGAGTTGGGTAAAGTTGGTAGGCTAGTTAATTGAGTATCGTTACAATGGAGTTCTATTAAGGAGTCGGGTAAAGCTGGCAAACTAGTTAATTGAGTACTGTGGCAACGGAGTTCAGTTAAAGAATCTGGTAAAGATGGTAAGCCAGTTATTTGAGTGTCAGAACAGTAGAGTTCAGTTAAGGAGTCGGGTAAAGATGGTATACTAGAAATATTAGTCTCATAGCAATAGAGTTTCGTTAAGGAGTTGGGTAAAGTTGGTAAGCTTGTTATCTGGGTATTGCGACAGTAAAGTTCGGTTAAGGAATTAGGCAAATTTGGCAAGCTAGTGATTTGAGTATTATAGCATTTGAGTATTTTTAAGGAGTCGGGTAAATTTGGTAAGCCAGATATTTGTGTATCAGAACAGTCGAGTTCCGTCAAGGAGTCGGGTAAAGTTGGTAACCTAAATATATTAGTTTCGTTGCAATAGAGTTCTTTTAATGTGTTGGGTAAGGTTGGCAATCCAGTGAGTTGTGTGTTGTTGCAGTAAAGGATTGTTAAATTTCGATATCTTTGTAACCCTCCCGAGTTTAATATTTCATCCTCATTAGTGTCTGTAATTGTTAATATATTGATGGTATCATCATACATCATACCCGCTTGCGTTTTGATTTGTTCTTCTTGTTGTTTAATCTTTTTTTGAAGGTCAGTAATAGCTTTTTGTTTAGCTTTAGCTTCTTCTTTTTGCTTTCTTATAACTTCTTCTAGAGTTACTTGCGTGGCTTTGGCTACTTCTTCACGTTCTTTAATCTTTGCTTGCGTTACTTTTTCATGCTCTTTAATCTTTTCTTCTAAAACGTTAATAGTCTCCTTCTTGGATTTGATTTCTTTTTCTTGTGTTTCAATAATTATTTCTAAAATCATTAATAATTTCTTGCTTAGCTTGAAATATTCTTTCTCGTTCTTTAAATTGATAAATTAAAATTTGATAATTCCTCACCTCTTTTAGATAATTCAAAATTTAAATATTGAATGTTTTTTCTTCGGTCTTCCAATTCAGCTAATATCTCTGTAATTTTTTGTCCTGCTAATAACTCTCTCAATTTATTTAAATCCTTACTACTATCATTTTCTTTCCATATAAGCGAGTGTAGCAATTGAATTTCCTCGTCAGCTTTCTCCTTACTTTGCTTTAATTCCTTATTCTCTTCTTTCAAGTTTTTTTTTATAACCATTTTACGATTAATTCTTCCTCTCAAATTTTAGAAAAGAAATTCTACTTTAGGCTTTTAATGAAACTTTATAATTCAGCCCACTTGACAATCTTTCTTCTTTTAGAATGATCGCTCGGAATAACCTTTTCCGTATGGTTATTTACTCATTTAATGCAGGTCATTTGACCCAAAAAGAACAATAACATTTCTATATGAAGTTAGACTGATATCTTAAATGATTATTATTTTTCATTTACTTTAATGAATGATTAAGAAAGGCAATTTATCGAGATTACAATAAAGATTTCCTTACACAGTAATATAAATTTAATTCGATATTATCCGACATATTTATTTAAGTTAAGAATGTAACAGAAGAAAACAGAGCTTTTAATCCTCAACAATTAAAATAATAGAATTAAATTTAAATATTTTGTGTACCATGAGTAAAATTTAAAGATGTCGCACGCATTCATATTTTTTTTTTTTTTTATCGACATTTCATAAATATGAAGCTTACTATTATAATGAATGATGAAAATCTCTTTGATCCAATTCCAAAATTACAATCCAGTCCTGTATCTTCCTTTTAAACGATATGATAAATGTCATTGTAGGAATGGATACTCTTTTACACATTTATTTCAACAAGAATATTGTAAGAAATGATTATCTAATTACGTTAGTGCTGTTCCCGATATTTGGATGTACTAATAGGTACTGTACAAAAATGTTTAATGTATTATACATGAAGCTTGAAATACTATTCATAAATGAACTAATAAACGGTGTGACATCATTTATAAACAGCGGAAACAGTATTATATATGAGTTCATCCACAATAAAATCTTAATAAGGTTGCCGGCCAAAACCCAGAGGTTTCGACAGGCATCGAAACCGAAACCCGTCGAAACCTTCTGATATTAAAATACAAGATTTTAATTTTAAAAATTTATTATTTTGTTTACGAGATGTGCAATCGTATATATCAAAGGTCATTTTCTTTTATAATATCATTATCATATATTAATATATTTATAAAAGATAAGAAAAAATATCAAAAAATTTACATATTGAAATTGAATTAATTTATTCTTCAAGTCCAATTCTCCTAAATAGTATTTTCTTCATTTAAACTCACAGTATCCTTATCTCTTCTTCATCCATTAAACTTTCATTTGAAAAATCATCATCTGGAGGTTGGAACCGGATTTGATATTATTCAATTCGAGTTTAAATCCAGATTTATTTACTGCAAAACTCTAGGTAATTTTTGATAATCCTGGTTTGCTGCTTCAAAATTAAATAAAGCAGAAACTAAATGGTATGGTAAACGGACTTAGGAAGTTTACGAATGATATTTTTATCATTAAAAAAACTTTCTAATATATTAATCTCTTTTTTTGGAAAAAATTAAATACTGTAATTGCGTTAATCAAAAATTTGCTTTTAAATTAAGGTGTAAACTAGTTAATGGTAAAAAGGAACAAGTTGTTTTCTTTCACAGAAATAATTTGAAATGAGTTAAAAACAACTTCTCATACACAATAACTAGAATAATTCATTTATTATGACTAACATTGATGTTTGATATTAATATGTAAAGTTTATATTTTTATAGAATTTAAAAAAGATAAATTAAAATGATGCAGCAGAGCTAACATTGTAATATTATCATGTCTTGCAACTGTAATGGATATATATATATGTATAATTTATAGAGTTTTTATAAGCGATGATATGATAATAAAAAATAATTTATTAGTTAGAAATAGAGGTTGGATCAGATTCAATTTTCAGATTTAATTCTGAATCTAAATTTTAAAAATTGGGAAGATTCTAAGAAATCTGGCTCTAGAAAATTTTTAACAAAATTTTGATTTTCATTGCATTTTAATTTTTAATATTATCTTAATTTTAGTCAAAAAAATCCTTGAGCCTAATTTTTTTAGCAAACTTTCTAATTAAGTAAATTTAAATATAAAAAATAAAATCAGTTTCAACTTCTATTATCATCTACTTTATAAAGTAATTCTTTAATTCTTTAATAATTACAAATTTAAAACTTTATTTTTATATTCTATATGCAATATAATATATCTATTAGTTAAATTTTGCAAAATTATTATCAAAACTATTAAACTTTTTAAGATTACCATAGAGCTCTGAATAGGTTAGTTCAGGTCTGATCAATCAAATTA